CATTTCGATGTAATTTACCGCGAATATGGGTCTTGGGAACTTGAAATACAGTTTTTCTTCGCCGTGTCTTATGACGTCAGAACACGAAACACTACAAGGTTTATTCGTTCACAAAAAATCACGTTGTATACCATTTTCAAGTGCTCGGCGTCGGCACTTAACATGCTCCAATTTTATTGATTTTAATAGCATCGAACGGCAATAAAACCAACTCTCGATCGGTAGGGGGTGGAATCTTGACAAATTGCCTCATAAAAAGTGAGCGTGAATTGTTATTTCAACTTGAAAAATATACATTGTATTTTTAAATGCCAACATTCCACCCCCAAATGATTGAAAGGTAGTTCAATTATCTTTCTAATGGTATCGAAATGAAAAAAAATATATTAATAATAACAAGTGCCGCCGAGCACTTGAACTTCCAAAAATTCTTTTTCAGACCTCCCTATATGCCTGTGTGGAACCACATTCCACAAGATTGTCGACTTAGAATAATTTTGATACAGTGTTTTGGGTCTGTGGTGTTTTTCACCACAAGAGTTCCACAAGAAATTGGACTTAGATAAAAAAAAAAAAAAAAAAAAATTTTCAAAAGTTTCTTCTCAGACCTCCCTATATGGCTGTGTGGTACAACATTCCACAAAATTTTCGACTTAGAATAATTTTGATACAGTGTTTTGGGTCTGTGGTGGTTTTTTTACCACAAGAGTTCCACAAGAAATTGGATTTACAAAAAATATCATTTTTTTCAAAAAATTCTCCTCAGACCTCCCTATGTGCCTGTGTGGTACCACATTCCACAAGATTTTCGACTTGGATAATAAAAATTATTTTTTTCAAAAATTTCTTCTCAGACCTCCCTATATGGCTGTGTGGTACCACATTCGACAAAATTTTCGACTTAGAATAATTTTGATACAGTGTTTTGGGTCTGTGGTGTTTTTCACCACAAGAGTTGAATGGCATGCCCCTAAGACTACTCGTTGCTTTCTTAATTCCAGATAGTATCAAATTTGTATAATTTTACTTTTTTGGAAGGGAGATAATAACCTGCGGTCATATTAATGAGTCTATTTCTTTCAAGTAAATATGTCTGTAATTCTCAATAAGGCTGTTGAACATGAATGCTTTTTTCTAAAACTAGATTGAAATTCATAATATAGTTGTATTTTTCAAAAAATTCTGTAATTTGAGAACTAATGTGTTCTTCGAATTTTGATAACGTGGGAAATACAGAAATGGGTCTACAAGTATTTGTGACCGGCCGCATCTAAATGGGTCGGAATGCAGGAGAATCAATAATGAGATAAAGACAAAATAAGTGAAAATATTGATTTCGAAAGAAATTGAGATTTTCACAAAAATGAGTCAAAAATATATTATTTACTATCTATCGACACTAAAGATCAAAATAGCAATAAAATATTTTAAAACACCTGTATTTGAACGTTTTGTAAGAGTACCGTATTCTTAAATCTGTCCTATTTCTCAAAATTCTCGTCGAAATTAGTTATTTTTCTTCGCTCGCAGTGGGATGACCGGTCATTCCTCTTGCATACAATTGGCATCGTTGTAAAGCGGAGCATCTCTAGTTTATAAATATGATCAAAATATTGTTGATGAATTGATTTTGAACGGATACAATCAAGTTTTAAAACCCTCCAAAAATATAAATAAACTCCGCCTGTTGCCATGCTGTCCACGCAACTCCTTTGCTGATTGGCCCGGACACCGCGTGCAAGACATTATCGATAAATATTTGGTTTTGGCAATGTTTTTGGGTACCTACATGCGATTCACTCTGATAAGTGGCAGAAAAAAAAAAATTAATTCTGATCATATAGATTGCCGTTGAGTGTTAATCGAAACCACGTGGCTGATGATGTTAATTAATCGACAAGCGGATGTGTGGCATTGAGTAATACTATTACTAATCAAATGTCACGGGTCAATGATAAAGCCGTCGACAACTCATTATTTACTCCGAATAATAAATCCAAGTGGTGATTGTTTGATATCTCATATCATCTTTAAAAAAATAATCTATAGGCCTTAAATGGAAATAAACAAAATGGCCAATAATGTTCTTTTCACAGGGAATTTTATTGATAGCTGAATTTCGTTTAACGTTGCTTCTTCATACGGCATGCAAAGTAAGGAATGCATTTGGGATATTATTGTTTAAAATTCTCTTATCACAATGGGTCGAAAAAATGAGAACGACCGAGGCGAAATGCGACGATTCTCGAGTCTGCCATTGAGTATCCTCTGAATAATGTTGATATTTACATCAAAGCCAAAATGCACGAAAGTGAACGTAAGCATAGACTATGAAATTGACATTTCTATAGGGACTCATATTTTGATGATGTCACGGTACCTGAAAATAATAATAGACCTATTCTAAAGCAAACATGGATAGGATAAACCAGCACGCTGCAGTTTACATCAACCCTTTCTTGAAGTGTCAGTATCGTACACACAAAATCTTCTTTTAATTCACATGTTAAATGAACACGCGTACACCTGTTGCGGCTTCTTTGATGATTATCCAATCAACAATCTTAATCTCCTGACCACTAGCTGGCACTAAGGTGCCAATTAATTGATGAGTTAATCTCACTAAAGTTATATTATACACAACAGACTACTAATGTATAGATTGTTCTTCGGTATAACACTATCATGTGAATATTATGCCGTATGTGTTGTGGATCTTTCGTTACGAAAGGAGTGCATTTATTACGATTTTCGTCGTCAGCACCATTGAAATCCTAAATAAAAAACGTATTAAACAACAAAATATTGCAAATAAATTGCGGAAATAGTCGGATCAAATTTTTACAATTTTCGTCTTCAGCACCCCTGAAAACCCATGGAAAGATATATTCAACGACAAAAACAGCAGATAAATGGCCTTGTTGCTATGGGATTTTGTTTTGCAACATACCAAATCTTTAACTTGCTTTTTCTCAAAACTTACTTTTGTGAGTTGGGTAGCTTCTAATAGACACAGCTCAGTCAATTTTTGCCCAATTCAAACAGACTATACATCAAATTGAAGGTAATGAGTTGGAGAATGTGAAAATAACAATAACTCAATTTTCAAAATTTCCTCATTGTGACTCAATATGCTGTGGGGGGTCACATTTGGTAGATGCTTGTCTTCCTCGTCTTTTCACAATATTTATTGGTAAGGGGGCTATATACAGGCTTAATATCATCGGTAACATTGGTAAAATATCTATTCATAATATCAGCAACATCAGATAAATCACCATATTCCTTATCTGATTTTATAGACATCGGTTAGGTACAATTTGTTTTATTTCCCATAGCATTGTTCAAAAAATTTCCAAATATGTTTTGAGTCGTTTTTTCTTTGGAATGGCAGTTGATACATTGAGACTTAGAACTTGTGATTAAATTTTTGGTTTTGTTTTGCTATACTGAATACGAATAAAGGAAATGAGAATATATACTAAGAGCAGTTTCAACTATTCACACAACAATTTTTTGAAAAAAATGATTTTTTTCCTATGTCCAATTTCTTGTGGAACTCTTGTGGTAAAAAACCCCACAGACCCAAAACACTGTATCAAAATTATTCTAAGTCGAAGATCTTGTAGAATGTGGTACCACACAGCAAAATAGGGAGGTCTGAGAATTATTTTTTGAAAAAAATTATATTTTTTCTATAGGACAGCTGTCTAGACATTCAGATGAGAAGAAAAACCGAGGTCCCGTGTACACATTGGAATTCAATATAAGAGTAGGCCGCAGTGCTTTTGTCCGGGCAAAATTTCCCTTATAGCACACGGTTTGGTCTATGCTCGTCTAAATTAGCCCAGTTCGGAGCAAAACAGGACATTCAACCCCATTTCATTTCATTTCATGATCAACCGTATGAATTTACGCTTAAGAATGCCATATTGAATTAAGTACTTTACCCTATTTTTTCTTCTTTTTTTTTTTTAATATTGACCTAATCAGTTTATTACTGTTTTTCACCCGCCCCCTCCCCTCACCGAACCAAATCCTTACTAGACAAAACATAACCATTGTATAACCAGATACTCTTTCTTCTTTCTTTCTTTTCAACTAGAGAGAGAAATGGGGTTTAACGTCCACTCAACACAACTAGGTCATTTCGGGACTAACATATGGTTTAATTTTATTTCAATAATTTGCTTGCGCATAGGGGTCTTTAGTAGTGAGAGGAAACCGGAGGACCCGGAGAAAACCCACGAGGATGGACAGGCGACCCTACTCCTTGTCACGTACAACCGGGGATTCGAAACCACCCCAGTCGACTCAATGACAGACTTTATGATACAGCGTGCGCACGCTAACCATTAAACCATCTAACCCCCCTTTTCAACTAAAGGAATGAACAACAAAATAAAGACAAAATCAACCACCATACCGGACAACAAAACCAAATGGAAGGAAGAATGGTCCAGGTCATACACTCACCAACAAGCCCCAAGGAAGAGTTGCACCGCCCTGCCATTCAACCGGACAAATCGACCAGACTGACGAAAACGACCTAAATGTACATAATTCATCCAAATTAATGTCTGTTTTGTCAAATGTCCGTATTGCATGCCTGTCTGTTTATGCTTGTCTTAATGTTCGTCCATGTTCATGTATGTTTTGTCACAAATTCGTCTGTCAATCTCTACTGTCACTCATTAATAGTTTGGACATGTTATCTCATGTCTCGTTCTGTTATCTATTGTCTTCTGTACATATATGTAAAAACCTAATTATCCTTTTTCCACTAATCACATTGTAAATATTTCACTATGTATATATAATTGTCTGCGATATCACCTCGATTGGCTGAAATATGAACTGGTTTACACAGGTTTAGGGAAAGCAAAGGACGGTGATAAGCTATCTCCTTTTAAATATTTCTGGTATGCACTTAGATAATTTGATTTGCCCCCACCCCATAATATTCAACATGATATAGCTAGGGAATGAAGGGTAATTACCTGTTTCAGTATAAGAAGAATTGGAGGAATCAAATTCTGATTGATGACAGCTTGTATTTGTTCTGAATTACCAGCTGTTATATTAGATAATGTCCATGCCGCTTCTTTCTGTATATTTATTTTAGGATGATTCAACAGACGGGTAAAAGCTGGAAGGGCATTAGCTTCCAATACAGCCTGAAAACATTTTATGTACAATATTAATTAAACATGAGAGACACTACTATATATGTAGTCTTGCTTCTTCAATTCAATCATTTTCAAGTTCAAAACATCTGCTAAATATCTTGCAAAGGTAAATTCACAAACAAATAAAAATTTAAAGGCTTTTATGTATGTATAGAGGTGTTCTGCCTTTATTTTTAGAGCACAATAACCAGCGGCTGCCAGGCAGGATATGCCCACATTTTGCAAGAGATGTATAGAACAAGCTAAAAAGAAAAACGTTTTTTTGTACAATCAGGGTCGATAATCCAGAAAGTTATGGTCTGAAATGCGCAAATATCAAAAGCGACTGAGATTTTTGGAATATAAAGATATGTTTTAAGTTTCATCAAAATTGGATAAAAATTGTGACCTCTAGAGGGTCCATAACCTTTGAATTACATACTTATATACAATTTGCATACAAAGAGCGGCCATTTTGTCGGCAGTTTCATTTCGATTTTCCCAAAATTCCAATTCAACCTTCATTATCTAAACGGTTTTTAAAATCGAAAAATAAAATGCGACCTCTAGAGAATCCACAAGCTAAAATTGTGATTTTTCGACCAATCAGGGACAATAATCAAGGAAGTTACGATCCGATATGCGCGAATATCGAAAGGAACCAAGATATTTGGATTATAAACATTCATTTCAAGTTTCATCAAAATCGGTTTAAAATTGTGACCTCTATAGTGTCCACTAGCTAAAAATGTGATTTTTCGTACAATCAGGGGCCATAATTCATGAAGTTTTGATCCAATATGTGCGAATATCGAAAGCAACCAAGATCTTTGGGTTATAAACATGCATTTCAAGTTTCATCCAAATGGGCATGAATTCACGAAATTCAAATTCAACCTTCATTCCGGTGTAACGGTGATATAATCAAACGTTTTTTGAAATCAGATAATAATTGTAACCTTCAGAGGGACCACAAGCGGAAAAAGGCAATTTTTCATACAATCAGGGGCCATAATTCAGGAAGTTACGACCCGATATGCGCAAATTATTATTATTATTATTATTGTTCGATTTATATAGCGCTTCATTACACATGAGTGTTTCTAAGCGCATTCACAACAAAACAGTTCAAAAACATTTTTGAAATAAGTAGGTTTTTAAGTTAGTCTTAAAGCTTTGGATGGAAGAGGACTCTCTAAGAGTTTTTGGAAGATCATTCCACATTTTTGCTGCTTTGGGTTATAAACATGCATTTCAAGTTTCATCAAAATCGGATTAAAATTGTAACCTCTACAGGGTCCACAACCTTGATACCATATTTTTACACTATTCGCGTATAAGCAGTGGCCGTTTTGTCGTCAGTTTTGGTCCGATTTTCATGAAATTCTAACTGAACCTTCATTACGGTGTAACGGTGATATACTAAAACGTTTTTTTTTTAAATCGGATAAAAATTGTGAAGGTGATATAATAATATGTTTTTTTTTTATATCGGATAAAAACCATGACCTCTATAGGGTCAACAAGCTAAAAACGTGATTTTTCGTACAATCAGGGGCCATAATTCAGGAAGTTACGGTCCGATATGCGCGAATATCGAAAGGAACCGAAAATCTTTGGGTTATAAACTTTCATTTCAAGTTTCAACAAAATCGGATCAAAATTATGACCTCTAGAGTGTCCACAAGCTAAAAACGCGATTTTTCGTACAATCAGGGGCCATAATCCATTAAGTTAAGGTCCAATACATGCCAATATCAAAAGGAACCAAGATCTTAGGGAGATAAACCCATATTTTAAGTTTCGTTGAAATTGGATAAAAATTGTGACCTGTAGAGTGTCCACAAACAAATTGTGGACGGACAAACAGGGGTGACGGCATAATACGTCCACATGAAAATGTGGGCGTATAAAAACAGAAGTTTTTTTTATTGAACAGGAACATCTTTAGCTGAGATTTTAAAGGAGTCAATGGTTCTAATGTAAGGGAATGAATTCCATAAGAGAAGAACAGAGACCGAGAAAGATCTTTTTGGGATTTCAAGATTCACTGATGGTTGATTCAGAAATTGTTTATTTGTGGGTCTAAGAGTTCTTGTGGATTTGTATGGAGTGAACAGATCTTTGATATATTTTGGTGATTGATCATGTAACACCTTGAAAGTCAACAGCAATATTTATAACTTGATTCGCTGTTGAACTGGGAAACCAAGCCGAAAATACCGATGAACTTTCTTGGCCAACAATGTAATCAAACCCGCGACCCCCGAGCTAGTGTCTTACTCACTTAGCCACCATGGCTCCTTGTGTGAAGATGGAAATAAGAGGAACAAACAGATTTGATGTGGGAGCTAAAGACATTGTGCAAACTAGAACTGCACCAATGTTATTGGCTTCTGGAGACTGAGCAAGACTTTCGTGTTGAAATTTGAGAAATGAAATGGGTTAACGTCCTACTGTTCTGCTCCGAACTGGGCTAATGAAGACTGGCATACATTGTGGTATGAGGGAAATTTTGCACGGACAGCAGCACTATGGCCTACTCTTATATTGAATTCCAACTGTCAAGGGATCTTTTACGTGCATGCCAATGTGAACACAGGACCTTGATTTTTTGTCCCATCCGAATGACTACACAGCTGTCTTTGTCAGCTGTCCTGCACCACTGAAATTTAAGAGACGGCATTAATTTACTAAGTAGTTGTTTTGTTCCAATTACAAGATGCTCAGTTTTTTCAGGATTTAGTTTCAGAAAGTATAATGTCATCCGTAATTAACCTGATTTCTTCCAAACAGTTTTCAATATTACTTAAAGCCAAACTAGTGAATTTGTTGATTGAAGGAGGTATCATCGGCATACAAGTCACTATTAAGACAAAAATTTTCAGCTATTTTCATTAATGGTTGGGTGATGAACAGTACAGGGCCTAAAACCCATCCTTGGGGCACACCACACATCATAGGGACCTTAACAGATTTAATGTCAACAATTTTGACTTATTGTTTTCTTTTTTCTAGGCTCAAAACAGTGCCTTGAACCCCTATTTCTTCCTGCAGAGCTTGGAGAAGGTCTTCGACATCAAGTGTGTCAAAGGCGCCCGACTATGTTCGTATTAACTCGTGTCAAAGGCACCCGACTATGTTCGTATTAACTCACGTTTGTTTAATTACTCACAATATTTTTACATAGTGACACAAGGAATACTTACCGATTAACTTAAATACTCACCTTGTGATTATTACCGACCATTTATAGGAATACTAAGGCACGGTGCAAGTACCGACGAGTTTACATGACTACTGACAACACGTATATTTCTCACAAGTATCCATGAATAGTAACCACAATTAACTTATTCTACTTGATTTAAGGATATTCTAACATAGAACCCAGTTTGTCAATACTTAGATCAGTTCTACACACGCATCTTGCTGTGTTGTAAGGTCCATGATGTGATGTATGAAAATATTGTTGTACAATTTCTATCTATATATAGTATTAGTAAATTCAATCCCATCGTCTACTAACAAGAATCATTAATCTATGGTTTGAAAAAGATTTGTCAATAAATTACTCCACATTTTTTATGTGAGGGTTTATAATTCCTTTTTTTTTTTTTAAAACTATGCATACCTGTGTTTGATGATCATCTCCAGTAACAATATTACCAATAGATCGTAATGCAGGTGTTAATACAGATGCTTCGGCTGATCCTAATAATTCTACTAAACGTGGTATAACATCTAAAAGAATAGAAATTAAAATATTTTAATCTTAAAAGTATATCTTAACAAGTCAACAGAAATCTCTCTCTCCCCCATTGCTGGATTGGCTTCGGATACTTGAGCTTTTGAGGGAGTGTGTCTGTTCTTCCCGTTCAATCATATTCCTGAAGCAATGCCCGAGAATCCCTCTGGCCATTGCTGGATTGGCTTCTGATACTTAAGCTTTTGAGGAAGTGTGTCTATTCCTCCCGTTTAAAAAAATCTATCCCAAGTACAGCAACATGACAGCCCTTTGTTTCATCTGGGGTCTTCCCTAAAACTTTGGACAGTGATTTAAGGTATTAACCAGCGGCTTCCAGGCAGGATACGCCCACATTTTGCAAGAGATGGATAGAGAAGCTAAAAACAAACAGGATTTTTTGTACAATCAGGGGCAATAACATACATGCCAACTATTCCGATTTTGTCGGAATCATTCCGATTTTCTGAGTCTCATTCTGAATTCCGATTTTACTCTTTATAATTCCGTTTTTTAAAATTTATTGGAAGAAATTTATTATATTTCATTCCTGACCTTTTTGATTGATAAAATCCCTCTCGTTTTATTTTTACATTGACGACTGTCTCAGCATTCTCGCTGTTTGTTGTGAATCTGATGGTGATACAGTTTATCGTAGTATGGGTCGGTAAAACAACGAAAATAGTCAAGAACATGTGTCATGTTTTCCTTATTAATATCAATATAAAATGGAATAAGCTATTATGTCTGGACTAATCAAGATCAAAATGTCATGTGGTTATTTCCGTCATTTGCCGTGTCTTATTTGCATAATTCGCGGTAAAACGACAGAAATAGCCGAAAACATGTCTCCAGTTTTCTCGATTATTATTAATATAAAATGGAATAAGCTAATATGGCTGGACTAATCGAGATTAAAATGTCATGTGGTTATTTCGTCATAGGCCGTGCCTAATTTGCATACTTCGCTGATATTATTTGCTATGCGGAGCCATTCTCGCATACACTCTTACAGTACACGGCGGGTTTACCGTTAGTTGCCAGTAACGTTGTTGTTTCTTCCTTAGCCATATTTCCTTCTGACTTGATAAAAAATGTTTTCAAGCTGTTTTTGATGTGTGAAAAAACAAATTACAATTATAAATAAAACCCAGTATAAATAATTTACGACTTCTACTTCCATGTCGGTCGTCAAGACAAACAAAATGGCTTCCAAAACAAATGTCAGACAAAAATACCGGGAAACTTACGGCAAAGAATTTCCAGGAACCATTAAACCTCAGATGCATGGACCTAAATCACCAGCTGTTTTTATCCAATAATACAAGGTACTGCTTTAAATAGGTGCTAATTTCTCAAAATTTTCTTGGGGCCCTTAACCCCACGCCCTTCAAGCCTCCGGCGCTCACGGTGCTTCGCCCCGATCGAACTTGGACCTGCGGTCCTCGCTCTACCCTCAATACAAGGCATTCTGATTTTCAATCTCCTCAGGTTGGCATGTATGCAATAATCCAGAAAGTTATGGTCTGAAATTCCCAAATATCAAAAGGGATAGATCTTTGGGATATAAAGATTTTAAGTTTCATCAAAATCGGATAAAAAATTGTGACCTCTAGAGGGTCCACAACCTTCGTAGTATACTTTTACACAATTTGCGTGCAAAGTGCGGCCATTTTGTTGGGCAGTTTCATTTCGATTTTCCCGAAATTGGAATTCAACCTTCCTCATTGTGGAATGGTGATATAGTTAAACGGTTTTTAAAATCAGAAAAAAAAATTGTGACGTCTAGAAAATCCGCATGCTAAAAATGCGATTTTTCGAATACTCAGGAGCCATAATCCAGGAAGTTACGTTCGGATATAAGCGATTATCAAAATGAACCAAGATTTTAGTGTGTAATGGTGATATATTCAAAAGTTTTTTTTTAAATCAGATAAAAATTGTGACCTTTACATAGACCGCAAGCTAAAAACGTGATTTTTTGTACATTCAAGGGCCATAATTCAGGAAGATACGATCCGATAAGCGCGAATATCAAAAGGAACCAAGATCTTTGGGTTATAAACATGTATTTCAACTTTCATCAAAATCGGATCAAAATTGTGACCTCTAGAGGTTATACAACCTTGATTTACCAGATGTTTACACTATTTGCGTACAAGGGGTGGCCATTTTGTCCAGCAGTTTTGGCCCTATTTTCACGAAATTCGAAGTCAACAAACATTACGGTGTAACAGTGATATATTCAAGCATTTTTTTAAATCGGATAATAATTGTGACCTCTAGAGGGTCCACAAGCTAAAAACGTGATTTTTCCGTACAATCAAGGGCCATAATTCAGAAAGTTACGGTCCGAAATGCGCGAATATCGAAAGGAACCAAGATCTTTGGGTTATAAACTTGCATTTCAAGTTTCAACAAAATCGGATAAGAATTGTGACCTCTATAGGGTCGACAACCTTGATATACCATATTTTTACGCTATTTGAGAACGATGGGCGGCCATTTTGTCAGTCAGTTTTGGTCCGATTTTCATGAAATTCAAACTAAGCCATCCTTTGGGTGTAACGGTGATATATTAAAACGTTTTTTTAAATCAAATCAAAATTATGACCTCTATAGGGTCCACAAGCTAAAAACGCAATTTTTCGTACAATCAGGGGCCATAATTCAGGAAGTTATGGTCCGATATGCGCGAAGATCGAAAGGAACAGAGATCTGTGGGTTATAAATATATATTTCAAGTTTAAACCAAATCGGATAAAAATTGTGACCTCTATAGGGTCCACAACCTTGATATACCATATTTTTATGCTATTTGAGAACGATGGGCGGCCATTTTGTCAGTCAGTTTTGGTCCGATTTGCACGAAATTCAATCTCAGCCATCCTTTGGGTGTAACGGAGATGTACTAAAACGTTTTTTTAAATCGGATAAATATTATGACCTCTATAGGGGCCACAAGCTAAAAACAAGATTTTTCGTACAACCAGGGGCCATAATTCAGTTAGTTATGGTTCGATATGCGTGAATATCGAAAGGAACCGAGATCTTTGGGTTATAAACACATATTACAAGTTTCAACAAAATCGGATGAAAATTGTGACCTCTACAGTGTTCACAAGCTAAAACGAGAGTATTAGTACAATCAAGGGCCATAATCCATGAAGTTACAGCCCGATACATGGGAGATAAACCTATATTTCAAGTTTCGTTGAAATCGGATAAAAATTGTGACCTATAGAGTGTTCACAAACAATTGTGGGCGGACGGACGGACAGGGCCGACGACAATATACGTACACATGAAAATGTGGGCGTATAAAAAAAACTGTCCAAGCCATTATATTGTAATCAGAGAAATGTTCAAACAATGAAATGTAATAAACAAGACGAGAGTATAAGCATTACCATTATTTATTATCACTAGGGCTGCAACGATTCACGACTACCTCGATTCGGTTCGATTATCGATTTTAACCATTTGATTCGATTATTTTCGATTCAATTATCAGCTACAATAACCAGTAATTTTACCTTCCAGTGTTTGCTTGACTATGGGTAATAATCGCTAAACACGAAAATATCCGAAGATAATGACTGGAATTATCAGCTAATGAGATCGTTTAGAATTTATATAACGATTACCGAAGCTATTGACCTAAATTAACATCCAATGAACATTCGGTACGTCACCAATTTTAAATAAATTAACTTTCGTCAGCATACGGAAATTGTTTTAAAGGGAGGTCACTCTGTTTTAGTTATGTTTTCGAGTGACATTCGTGTTTTGTTAAATAACGTAAACAAGCCAACAGTGAGGCTGATGTCCCCCGCCGAAATCCCAAAATAAATAGATGACACACATTAATTTATTGCACATTTATTTTTTTTTTTAAAAGTATCAAGCAATCAAACTATACACTAAGTTTCATCACTCTCTATCAGATAGAATCAAGATTATCTTGTCCCAAAGCATTGACCAATGAAATTGATTAGCTCTGCTTAGCTTCAGCTCGAAATGTTAGTCAAGACATTCACCTAATGAACATCTACATCAAGTCTAAAAATTCTATCTCAATTAAAAGCAGAGTTGTTATGTTCAAAAGTCTTGACCAATCAAATTGCTTATCGCTCATTAGCCTTAAGCAGAAAATTCTCACCATCAAAATTAGTCAAGGTAATGATATAATGAATCTATATTCGGAGTTCCATCGCTCTCATTTCATTATAACCAAAGTTATCGTGTCTCAAAGCATCAACCAATCAGATTGCTTATTTCTGCTTACCTCAAGCAGACAATATTCATCATAGAACTCCATCAAGGCATTCACCTAATGAACGCCTACACCAAGTTTAACCATTCTACCTCAATTAGGAGAGTTATTGTGTTCCAAAGTCTCGACCAATCAAATTGTTTATCGCTCTGCTTACCCTCAGCAGAAAATATTCATAATCCAGTCAATGTATTGATGTAATAAAGCTATACACCAAGTGTCCTCACCCTCACTTAATTAGAACTAAAGTTATTGTGTCCGAAAATTCTCATCTTCGAACTCCATCAAGGCATTCATCTAATAGACACTTATACCAAGTGTGAACATTCTAGCTCAATTAGAATAAGAGTTATTTTGTTCCAAAGTCTTGACCAATCAAATTGCTTATCGCTCTGCTTACCCTGAGCAGAAAATGCTCATTATTGACATTACCAAACTTAGTCAAGGTATTGATGTAATGAAACTATACACCAAGTTTCATCACTCTCACTTAATTAGAACTAAAGTTATCCTTCCAAAAGCATCAACCAATCAAATTGCTTATCTCTGCTTACCCTAAGCAGAAAATGCTTATCTTCGAACTCCATCAAGGCATTGACCTTATAAACCCCTACACCAAGTTTGAAGATTCTAGGTCAAGTAGAAGGAGAGTTATTGTGTTCCAAGGTCTCGACCAATCAAATTGCTTATGGCTCTGCTTACACTGAGCAGAAAATGCTCATT